TTTGTGATCCCTCATTTCCATAGTGATATCACTAACCCACTGTGAAATTCCAATCCTCTCACACCCAATCCAGGTATGAAATGTGATACCCGAATCCAGTGTGACATTTAGATCATAGTGACATCACACTGATAGATGTTAAGAGCATTTTGTCACATTCTGACAACACACACCTGTTAGGACTTCATCACTTTTGTGACAACGCATGCCTTTGGAGATACCACAGTCCCTTTATGAGCTCATATACTCATTGTGAGTTAATGACAATTGAGATCACATGTGTCATTTTGATATCACCAACCCATTTTGACATCACACACCTCTTGTAAACATCACTAGTGTGGCATCACCAATTGTGATATGAAAATCTTATTAAGTAATCATATTGCAACATCACATTGCCATTATTATATCACTGTTCCATTGTGTTTTCTAAAACCTAGTATGTCTTCATAGCATTTTAGAAAATTCATGGTCTTTATACTTCAGTCTTCTTCTGTGAACTCATATCCTCATTGTGAAATAGTAGCAACTGAAATTGGACATGTGATTTTGAGGTATGACTTCACAAAACTATTTGATTTCATTACCAATTTGACATCCAAACCCATTGAGAACTTTCATTACCATTTGACATCACTATCACATTTTGACATCCCAAACCTATAAAGACCTCTTAGCACCTTTGATAAAAACATATGACCTTTGTGACATCACAGTCGCTTTGTGTAACTATACCCTCATTATGAACTTCCAATTGGTATCAGACATGCCATTGTAATATCACGAACCCTTTGTGGCATCACCAGTGTGACATAACATTTTCATTATGACAGCGTCAACTACTTTTGATATCACAAAAGTACAATGACAAGATAGCATTATGAGATCACATTGTCATTGTGAAGTTACAGATAGATTGTGAATGCTTATTTTTAATTGTATTTTTTTTTCCGGTTGTGGGGCTTGAACTCTGGGCTTGGTTGCTGTCCCTGCTCTTCTGCTCTAGGTGAGCACTCTATCGCTTGAGCCACAGCACCACTTCTGGTTTTCTAGTTGTTTTTATTGGAGATGAGTCTTATGAACTTTCCTGCCTGAGCTGGCTTTGAACTGCGATCCTCAGATCTCAGCCTCCTGAGTAGCTAGGATTACAGGTGTGAGCCACCAGTGCAAAGCTATTTCATTCTATTGCAAATTTGACATATGTGTTGATATCAGAAACATAATGTGACCTCATAACCATTGTAACATCATAAATCAGCAGTGACATCAAATTGTCATTATGATACCATCAACTCATTGTGACATCACCAAACAACAATGGCATCATAGCAGTATAAATCACAGTGACATTGTTACATCATAGACGTAACATTGTAAAGGCTTATTGTATGAATTCATTCTATTTCAGAAACCCATTTTGACAATATATAACCATTCTGATATCACAATACATTGTGACATCACATTGCCATTGTGATATCATTAACCTGTTGTGCCATCACAAACCAGTCCTGTCCTTATAAGTTTTGTGCCATGCTGCCCTCGTTATATATTAGGTCCTTGTGAGCTCATAATCTGTTTTCAATCTCATATTTCTGGTATGACATGTGATATCAGAAATCCCCTGTGACATCATATTGCCAGATTTCATGAATATTGTGTCACATTGTGACATCACAAAACTGTTAGAACAGCATTACGTTTGTGACAACACATGCTTTTGGAGACATTACAGTCACTTTTTGAACTCATATATTCATTCCCAATTAATGACAATTGAGATCTGCCATGCCACTCTGACATCATGAACTCATTGTGACATCACAAATTTATTGTGCTCATCACGAGAATGGCATCAACAACTAATTGTGGTATGAAATCATTATTTTGACATTATATTGTGGTATTGCCGTCGTGACATCATTGTTCCATTGTGTTTTTACAAACCTACTATGGCGACATCACATCTTAGAAAATTCATGGTCTTTGAGATTTCAAGCTTTTTTCTGTGAACTCATGTACTTATGACCCCTAAAGCAAGGACACAAGCCATTGAGTCAAATTTAATATAATAAAACAATTTACAATAGAAAGGGGACTGTGATTACCTTATCCTGGACTGGATACCCAGGTCCAAGATCATCCTTGACCAACAAACCTCAGAACTTCAATGGGCAGCACCACCCTTTTTAATTGGTCTGCAAACCACCATCCAAAAAATTATGATCTCCAAAGCTCCAACCTCAATGGGCAAGGCTTTTTACTTTTCCATTCCTCCCTCCTTCACTACAGAGCTGTCCTTCCTTCCTGGTCTTTCCCTTTATCCCTTCCACCACTTCCTTCTTCTCTTCCACTCTCCTCCACTCTCCACAGGCCTGCCCTACTCTGCCCCCGTGACCACTTGCCAACCTTCTGCTCTCCATCAACTTCCTCTCTTCTCAGATTTTTCTCTTTATTCCATCCAGGTAGCACCCATTTTTATTTCCCCTTCCAATACTCTGAAAATGCAACCTATATATAGGTTTACCTCTCTTTACTCTAACGGGTCTTCTGCCTAACAGTTTTCAGCAATCACTTCCCAAACTGCCCAATGCTCAATCACTCCTTGACAGCTCACCATGTGAGGCTTGACACTTCACCTTTGGCGGCATTCCCCACACTCTCCGGTGGGCCAGGCCAAGAATTTACAATGATTATCAGCTCAGACAGATAATTCTGGCCCCACTGGTTATTACATTATCCTCATAGTGAATTAGAAGAAATTGAAATTGTATATGTCATTGTTATATTACAAACTTGATGAGACATCACTAAACCATTGTGACCTAATCACCGTGGTGACATCACAAACTCTTTGGGATATCACACTGACATTGTGCCACCATGATCACATTGTGACATCCCAAGCCTATTATGACCTCAGAAGCTTTGAAAGAAAGCATGGCCTTTGCGAAATCACAGGCCTTTTGGTATCCATACCCTTATTTTGAGCTGATGACGATTGAGATGAGACATGTCATTTTAACATCGCAAAACCTTTATGACATCATCACCAGTGTAATATCACATTGTCATTATGACAACATCAGCCCATCATGACATCATAAAACAATGACATCATAGCATTATGATATCACATGGTCATTGTGATGCCACAGACACATTGGAATACCTATTCTGTGATTTCATTCTATTTCAAAAGTGGCAGGTTTGTTGATATCAGAAATACATTGTGACCACATAATGTTTATGACATCACAATACCTTGATGACACTATATTGCAATTATGATATCACTAACCCACTGTGACATCACAAACTTTCTTATTCTCATAAATTTTTGACATGATTCCAGTGTGATCCCTTTGGCCTCTCTGAGTTCATAAATTGTTTAACTCATGATACTTCAGGTATGACATGTGATATCAGAAATCCACTGTGACATCATGACCACTGTGACACACTGCCAGATATGACCACTGAGTCACATTGTGACATCACAAACCTGTTAAGACTCATGACACTTGTGCCAAAATATGCCTTTGGATACATCATTAACCCTCCTGAACTTATATATTCATTGTCAATTAGAGATCTGGCATGAGATTTTGACATCACCATCTCATTGGGAAATCACAAACCTATGTGACCTCATCACCTGTATGGCATCACCAACAATTTGTGACTTCAAAACAATACTATACCATGTAATGGTAACATCACATTACCAATGGGATTTTCACCATTGCATTTTCACCAACCAATTATTTCCTCATAATATTTTAAAAAATTTATGGCCTTTCTGACTTGTAGCTCCTTATGTGAACTAGTATCTTCATTGTGATCTAGTAGAATGAAATTGGACATGTAATGGTGATATTACAAATTCTTTGTGACACCATTATCCAAGTGTGACCTTATCACCACTGTGACATCACAAACCCATTGTGACATCACATTGCCACAGTGATATCTCGGTCACCTTGTGACATCCCAAATCTGTTGTGACCTCTTAGCACTTTTGAAAAAGCACATGGTACTTGTGACATCACAGTCCCTTTGGGTAACCATATCCTCATTGTGAACAAAGGACAACTGACATCAGACATGCCATTGTAACATTACAAACACTTTGTCACATCATCTCCAGAGTGAGATCACATTGTTGTTATGATACCATCAAATCATTGTGACATCCCAAAATGACAATGAGGTCATAGCATTATGACATCACATTTTCATTGTTAGGTCATAGAGACAATGTGATTGCCTATTCTGTGGTTTCATTATATCTCTAATGTGACATATAGGTTGATTTCAGAAACCCATTGTGACCACATCACCATTGTGATATTACAATCCCTTTGTGACCTCATATTGACATTGTGATATTATTAATGCAATGTAACATCACAAACCTCTCGTCCTCATAAATTTTGTAACAAGTGTCTACCTTGACCTGGGCTAGATGCCCACAGCTAAATGCAGCTTCAACCATGAACCCTCAGACCTCCAAAGAGCAGCCCAACCATTTGTTATCTGGCCTGCAAATAAGCAACCCCAAAAATAATGATCTCCAAAGCTCCAAACTTCAAAGGACAAGGTTTTTTTCTTTCTATTCATCCTCCTTCTCTACAGACCTGTCCTACCTTTCAGGTCTTTTCATTTTTTTCCTTTCACCATTCCCTTCTTTTCTTCAGGCTTCTCTACTCTTGACAGGCCTGCCCTGCCCTGTCCAGGTGGCCAGTTGTCATCCTTCACCTCTTGGTCTCCCTCAATTTCCTCTCCTCCCAGGTTTTTACCCTCCTGCAGTCTCTTTACTTCTTTCCTTCCAGGCCTTTCCCTCTTTTCTCTCCCCTTGTGTTGCTCTGAACATGCAGCCTATGTATAGGCTGTACCCTTCCCCCACTGCAGTATGTTTCCTGCATAACAGTTTTCAATCATCACTTCCCAAATGTCCATGCCCAATCACTTCATGGCAGCTCACAATGTGGGGCTTGACAACCTATCTCCTTCAGCAGCATTTGCTGCTCCCTTCAGCTGCATGCACCCGCCTCTCCTGTGGTCCAGACCAGGAGGCCATGATGACTATCTGTTCCCATGGATGATAGGGTCACTGCTGGTTATTAAGTGTATCATGGTGATCTAGGAGAAATTGAAATTGGACAAATTTGTGATATTACAAACTCATGATATAACTAACCCATTGTGACCTCACCAACACTGTGACATCACAAACACATTGTAACATCACATTGCTGTTTTGACACCAGGATCACATTGTGACATCCCAAACCTATTATGACTTCTTATAACCTTTGAAAAAAATACATAGTTTTGTGACATCACAGTCCCTTTGTGTACCCAAATCCCCACCATGAAATATTGACAATTGAGAATCAAACATGACATTTTAACATCAAAAAGTTTGTGAGATCATCACAATTGTGACATCACATTGTAGTTTTGACACCATCTGCTCATTCTGAAATCACAAAAGTAAAATAATATGATAGAATTATAACATGACATTGTCATTGTGACATCATAGACACATTATGAATGCCTTTTCTGTGATTTCATTGCATTTCAAATGTGGCCTGTAGGTTGATATCATAAACAAATCTTGAATTCATAACCATTGTGACATCACAACCCCTTTGTACATCACATTGTCATTGTGATATCACTAACCTACCATGACATCACAAACCTATCCTGTCATCATAAATGTTGTGACATGCTGCAATTTTTTTAAGCCTTTTTGTCCTCATGATCTGTTGTGGACCTCATTAGATTTCACATATGACGTTTGACAAATTCCCAGTGACATCATGACCATGGTAACATCACACTGCCAGATGTCATAACCATTGCGTCAAATTCTGACATCACAAACCTTTTTGGATTTCAATATATTTGTGACAACACATACTTTTGGAAAAACTACAGTCCTTCTGTGAACTCAGATACTCATTGTAAGTTAAAGACAATTGAGAAACATTATGTCATTTTGACATGCCCCACACATTGTGACATCACCAATCTTTTGTGACCTCATCACCAATGTGGCATCATCAACTAATTGTGACACCAAAATAATATTTTGACGTGACACAGTGAGTTGACATTGCCATGGTGATATTAATGTCCCATTGTGTATTCACAAACCTAATATGGCCTCATAACATTTTTAAAAATTCATGTCCATTAGGACTTCAAGCTCCTTCTGTGAACTTGTATGCACATTGTGAAAAAGCAATTGAAATTGGACATGTGTTTAAGATATTACAAAATCATCATGACATCAAAAACCTATTGTGAACTCATCACAACTGTGTATCATGAAGCTATCATGGCCCCTAAGTACTTTTGAAAACACACATGACATTTGTGACATTTCAGTCCCTTTGTATACCCATATCCTCATTGTGAACACATGACAATTGTATTCATATATGCCATTGTAACATCACAAACCTTTGTTACCCCATCATCAGAGTGACACCATTATCTCCTTGCAACATCACCAATTTACAATGACCTCATATCATTATGACATTATATTATCATTGTGATGTCATAGATACCTTGTAAATGTCTATTCTATTTCATTCTCTTTCAAATGATGTGGCCTCTGGGTTGATATCAGAAAACCATTGTGATCTCATAAATGTATGGCATCACAATCACTTTGTGTTATCACAGTGCCATGGTGGTATCACTAACACACTGACATCACAAACTTGACCTGTCCTCATAAGTCTTGTGATGTTCTGCAATTGTGATGTCTTAGGCCCTTTATGAGTTCGTAATCTATTTTCAACCTTATAATATTTCAGTTATGATATGTGATATCAGAAATCCACTGTGACATCATTGTCATTGTGACATCATACTGACAGATATCATAAATATTGTGTCACACTGTGACATCACAATCCTCCTAGGACTTCATCACATTTGTGACAACACATGCCTTTGGAGATAGCACAGTCTGTTTTGGAACTCATATTCTCTGTGATTTCATGATAAATGAGATCCTTTATGCCATTTGGATATCACCAACCAACTGTGACATCATAGACCTACTCTGACCCCTTACCTGTAGGTCATCATCAATTAATTGTGTCATCAATACCTTTTGTGATGCCACAATGTGACACTATGATCATTACATCTGTCAGTGTGATGTCACAATGGTCATGATGTCACAGTGGATTTTTGGTATCTAATGTCATACATGAAATATGAGGTTGAAAACAAATTATGAGGGCAAAAAGTCTGATATCACAATGTCAGCATGTCACAAATGTTAGGAGGAGAGGAGAAGTTTGTGCTGTCACATTGGGCTAGTGACATCACAATGGCACTGTGATGGCACAAAGTGATTATGATGTCAAAATGGTTATTTAGGCACAAAAATGCGTTTCTGATAGCAACTCTCATGCCACATATGAAATACAATGAAATCACAGAATAGGAATTCACAATGTGTCTATGATGTCAAAATGAGAATTGTTGTCATAATACGATTATGTCATTGAGTTTGATTATGTCACAATGAGGTGATGCGCTTATAATGAAAATGTGATGTCATACTGTTGAGGATGTCACAAACACTTTTTGATGTTATAATGGCATGTCTGCTTTCCATTGTCATTAGTTAACAACAAGGATATGGGTACACAAAGGGACTGATGTTGAAAAGGGCATGTGATTTTTCAAAGAAGCTAAGAGATCATAATAGGTTTGAGATGTCACAAGGGAACCATGTTGTCACAATGACAATGTTGTCACCATGGGTTTGTGATGTCGTGGTGGTGATGATGTCAACATGTGTTTGTGATGTCACAACGAATTTGTAATATCACAATCAAATTTCCAATTTCAATTGCTACTAGTTCACAAGGAGGATACTGTAATAATCAGCAGGGCCCCGATAATCTACAGGCTTAGATAACCAGTGTGGCCCCATCTCCTGGCCAGCTGGAGAGGATGAAGTATGCCACCAAAGACGGTGGGGCATTCTGTGGGAGGGGCTGGGGCATTAATCATCACGTGCTGAGCTGTGGAGAAGTAATTTGACTGTGGGCAGTTTGGGATTTGACAGTTGAAAACTGTTAGGCAGTTGGAGTGAAGAAGGGGTACAGACGTTATATAGGCTTCTGGTTCAGAGCAATAGAAGGAGAGAGAAAAAGGGAAAAGTCCTGTAAGGAAGGAAGTGGTTTGATAGCAGAAGGAGAAAGACCTGGGAGGAGGAGAAGTTGAGGGAGGGCAGGAGGTAAAGCATGGCAACTGACGACCCATTCAAAGCAGTTCAGGCCTGTGGAGAGTGAAGAGGCCTGAAGAGAAGAAGGAACTGGTAGAAGGGAGAAAGGGAAAGACCTCGAAGGAAGTATAGTTCTGTAGTGGAAAGACAAAAGAAAGGGTAAAAAAGGCTGGCCCTTTGATGTTTGGAGTTTTGGATTTCATAATTTTGGGGGTTGGTGGTTAGGAGAACATTTATGATATTAAATGTGTCTCTATGGATTCTCTTGAACTATAGAGGCCTTAATTTTTGGAGACCCCCATCGAGATAATCCATTTGGATGGCATCAGGCCTTGGCCTCAGGGAAAAATCCCCATAGGTGAAAGTGTCAGCACTCAGGGTTGAGAGTCTACCTCAAGTGTTTGTCTCCGGAGGAGAATCATGGACAAAAAGTCATTTAGTGTCCTCTAGGGGTGTGTGGGCAAGCTTGTCAGCCTGATTGGGGATCCCCTCTGGAGGTCATCTGTTGCTTCCTTGGGAAGCCATCTGGGAACTCCTTGAGAGGTCATGCAGGGCTTCTTTGGGAAGCCATCTGGAACCTCCTTGAGAGGTCATGTAGCCCTTCCGTGGGAAGCCATCTGGAACCTCATCAAGAGTACATCTGCAACTTCCTTGAGAAGCCATCTGAGACCTACCCTGGAGGTCATCTGGAGCCTTCTCCTGCGGGCATCTTGGACTTTCTCCAGAGGTCATTTGGGGCTTCCTCAGGAGGTCATCTGAGACCTCTATAAAAGTAGTGATTGGGAAATAAGGGAAACCATGGACCTAAGTTTCTTTGGGCCTGGCTTACTTCACTTAATATAATTTTTTCCAAGTCTTTCCATTTCCTAACAAATGGGGCAAAGTCATTCTTTTTGGTGGAGGCATAGAATTCCATTGTGTATATATACTACATTTTCTTGATCCATTCATCTACTGAGGGGCATCTGGGTTGGGGCTTCCTTAAGATGCAATCTAGGACCACCTCCTGAGGTCATCTGGAGCTTCTTTTGGAGGTCATCTCAGGTTACCTTGATAAGAAATATATGGCTGTCTTAGGACATCATCTGGAACTTCCTTGAGAAGCCATATAGGATGTCATCTGTGGCTTTCTCAAGAGGGTTATCTTGAACCTTCTCTGGAGTTCATATGTGGCCTCCTTGAGTGGCCATCTGGGAGCTACTGGTGAGGTAATCTCAGCCTCATTGAGAGGACATCTGGGACCTCCTTTGGAATTCATCTGACACTTCCTTGGGAAGCCATTTGGAACATCCATAAGAGGTCATCTAGGGCTTCCTAAGGAGGACATATGTGACATCCTCCAGAGGTCATCCGTGACCTCCTCAAGAGGCAATCTCGAATGTCCTCTCTGTCATCTGGGACCTCCTATAGAGGTCAACATTGAGAGGTTTGGGGCATGTGGGTTAAGTGTCTGTGGCTATTGTTCTGTGTGTGCATGCTGATAGTTCTGTGTCCTGTATGACCCTCTGTTTACTCCTTTTCTCAGGATGGGAGAACAAGGCCTAAATTTGTCATATCCCAAAAATATTCTCCCTCAGGGTTACAGAATCCCTCAGAAGAAGATGCACTGATGTACTCTTTCTCCTATTCTTTGCCATCAGCACCTCTAATGTTAAGTCCTCCCATGCGAAAATTGGTTACTTGTACCATCCTGAGGTGGTACAGTATGGTATGTTACCCTTATTACCCTTGAGACGGGAACATGGAGGAGATGGTGGGCAGGTCCCCTTTTTAATATATGATCCCTTTACAACTAGTGACCTGTATTACTGGAAACAGCAAAATCCATCCTTTTCAGACAAAACAACAACCAGGGCTCATTACCTCATTAGAG